TGCTCATCTACTGAACTCTACAGCACATTATATTCTCTGCTCATCTACTGAACTCTACAGCACATTATATTCTCTGTTCATCTACTGAACTCTACAGCACATTATATTCTCTGTTCATCTACTGAACTCTACAGCACATTATATTCTCTGCTCATCTACTGAACTCTACAGCACATTATATTCTCTGTTCATCTACTGAACTCTACAGCACATTATATTCTCTGTTCATCTACTGAACTCTACAGCACATTATATTCTCTGTTCATCTACTGAACTCTACAACACATTATATTCTCTGTTCATCTACTGAACTCTACAGCACATTATATTCTCTGCTCATCTACTGAACTCTACAGCACATTATATTCTCTGCTCATCTACTGAACTCTACAGCACATTATATTCTCTGCTCATCTACTGAACTCTACAACACATTATATTCTCTGTTCATCTACTGAACTCTACAGCACATTATATTCTCTGTTCATCTACTGAACTCTACAGCACATTATATTCTCTGCTCATCTACTGAACTCTACAGCACATTATATTCTCTGATCATCTACTGAACTCTACAACACATTATATTCTCTGTTCATCTACTGAACTCTACAACACATTATATTCTCTGTTCATCTACTGAACTCTACAGCACATTATATTCTCTGTTCATCTACTGAACTCTACAGCACATTATATTCTCTGTTCATCTACTGAACTCTACAGCACATTATATTCTCTGCTCATCTACTGAACTCTACAGCACATTATATTCTCTGATCATCTACTGAACTCTACAGCACATTATATTCTCTGATCATCTACTGAACTCTACAACACATTATATTCTCTGATCATCTACTGAACTCTACAGCACATTATATTCTCTGCTCATCTACTGAACTCTACAGCACATTATATTCTCTGCTCATCTACTGAACTCTACAGCACATTATAATCTCTGTTCATCTACTGAACTCTACAGCACATTATATTCTCTGTTCATCTACTGAACTCTACAGCACATTATATTCTCTGTTCATCTACTGAACTCTACAGCACATTATATTCTCTGCTCATCTACTGAACTCTACAGCACATTATATTCTCTGCTCATCTACTGAACTCTACAACACATTATATTCTCTGCTCATCTACTGAACTCTACAGCACATTATATTCTCTGCTCATCTACTGAACTCTACAGCACATTATATTCTCTGCTCATCTACTGAACTCTACAGCACATTATATTCTCTGCTCATCTACTGAACTCTACAGCACGTTATATTCTCTGCTCATCTACTGAACTCTACAGCACGTTATATTCTCTGCTCATCTACTGAACTCTACAGCACGTTATATTCTCTGCTCATCTACTGAACTCTACAGCACATTATATTCTCTGTTCATCTACTGAACTCTACAGCACATTATATTCTCTGCTCATCTACTGAACTCTACAGCACATTATATTCTCTGTTCATCTACTGAACTCTACAGCACATTATATTCTCTGCTCATCTACTGAACTCTACAGCACATTATATTCTCTGTTCATCTACTGAACTCTACAACACATTATATTCTCTGCTCATCTACTGAACTCTACAGCACATTATATTCTCTGCTCATCTACTGAACTCTACAGCACATTATATTCTCTGCTCATCTACTGAACTCTACAACACATTATATTCTCTGCTCATCTACTGAACTCTACAGCACATTATATTCTCTGTTCATCTACTGAACTCTACAACACATTATATTCTCTGTTCATCTACTGAACTCTACAACACATTATATTCTCTGCTCATCTACTGAACTCTACAGCACATTATATTCTCTGCTCATCTACTGAACTCTACAGCACGTTATATTCTCTGCTCATCTACTGAACTCTACAGCACATTATATTCTCTGTTCATCTACTGAACTCTACAGCACATTATATTCTCTGCTCATCTACTGAACTCTACAGCACATTATATTCTCTGTTCATCTACTGAACTCTACAGCACGTTATATTCTCTGCTCATCTACTGAACTCTACAGCACATTATATTCTCTGTTCATCTACTGAACTCTACAACACATTATATTCTCTGCTCATCTACTAAACTCTACAGCACATTATATTCTCTGTTCATCTACTGAACTCTACAGCACATTATATTCTCTGCTCATCTACTGAACTCTACAGCACATTATATTCTCTGCTCATCTACTAAACTCTACAGCACATTATATTCTCTGTTCATCTACTGAACTCTACAGCACGTTATATTCTCTGCTCATCTACTGAACTCTACAGCACATTATATTCTCTGTTCATCTACTGAACTCTACAACACATTATATTCTCTGTTCATCTACTGAACTCTACAGCACATTATATTCTCTGCTCATCTACTGAACTCTACAGCACATTATATTCTCTGTTCATCTACTGAACTCTACAGCACGTTATATTCTCTGCTCATCTACTGAACTCTACAGCACATTATATTCTCTGTTCATCTACTGAACTCTACAACACATTATATTCTCTGTTCATCTACTGAACTCTACAGCACATTATATTCTCTGCTCATCTACTGAACTCTACAGCACATTATATTCTCTGCTCATCTACTGAACTCTACAGCACATTATATTCTCTGCTCATCTACTGAACTCTACAGCACGTTATATTCTCTGCTCATCTACTGAACTCTACAGCACATTATATTCTCTGCTCATCTACTGAACTCTACAACACATTATATTCTCTGCTCATCTACTGAACTCTACAGCACATTATATTCTCTGCTCATCTACTGAACTCTACAGCACGTTATATTCTCTGCTCATCTACTGAACTCTACAGCACATTATATTCTCTGTTCATCTACTGAACTCTACAGCACATTATATTCTCTGCTCATCTACTGAACTCTACAGCACATTATATTCTCTGTTCATCTACTGAACTCTACAGCACGTTATATTCTCTGCTCATCTACTGAACTCTACAGCACATTATATTCTCTGTTCATCTACTGAACTCTACAACACATTATATTCTCTGCTCATCTACTAAACTCTACAGCACATTATATTCTCTGTTCATCTACTGAACTCTACAGCACATTATATTCTCTGCTCATCTACTGAACTCTACAGCACATTATATTCTCTGCTCATCTACTAAACTCTACAGCACATTATATTCTCTGTTCATCTACTGAACTCTACAGCACGTTATATTCTCTGCTCATCTACTGAACTCTACAGCACATTATATTCTCTGTTCATCTACTGAACTCTACAACACATTATATTCTCTGTTCATCTACTGAACTCTACAGCACATTATATTCTCTGCTCATCTACTGAACTCTACAGCACATTATATTCTCTGTTCATCTACTGAACTCTACAGCACGTTATATTCTCTGCTCATCTACTGAACTCTACAGCACATTATATTCTCTGTTCATCTACTGAACTCTACAACACATTATATTCTCTGTTCATCTACTGAACTCTACAGCACATTATATTCTCTGCTCATCTACTGAACTCTACAGCACATTATATTCTCTGCTCATCTACTGAACTCTACAGCACATTATATTCTCTGCTCATCTACTGAACTCTACAACACATTATATTCTCTGCTCATCTACTGAACTCTACAGCACGTTATATTCTCTGCTCATCTACTGAACTCTACAGCACGTTATATTCTCTGCTCATCTACTGAACTCTACAGCACATTATATTCTCTGCTCATCTACTGAACTCTACAGCACATTATATTCTCTGCTCATCTACTGAACTCTACAGCACATTATATTCTCTGCTCATCTACTGAACTCTACAACACATTATATTCTCTGCTCATCTACTGAACTCTACAACACATTATATTCTCTGCTCATCTACTGAACTCTACAGCACGTTATATTCTCTGCTCATCTACTGAACTCTACAGCACGTTATATTCTCTGCTCATCTACTGAACTCTACAGCACATTATATTCTCTGCTCATCTACTGAACTCTACAGCACATTATATTCTCTGCTCATCTACTGAACTCTACAGCACATTATATTCTCTGCTCATCTACTGAACTCTACAGCACATTATATTCTCTGCTCATCTACTGAACTCTACAGCACATTATATTCTCTGTTCATCTACTGAACTCTACAGCACATTATATTCTCTGCTCATCTACTGAACTCTACAGCACATTATATTCTCTGCTCATCTTCTGAACTCTACAGCACATTATATTCTCTGATCATCTACTGAACTCTACAGCACATTATATTCTCTGCTCATCTACTGAACTCTACAGCACATTATATTCTCTGTTCATCTACTGAACTCTACAGCACATTATATTCTCTGTTCATCTACTGAACTCTACAGCACATTATATTCTCTGTTCATCTACTGAACTCTACAGCACATTATATTCTCTGCTCATCTACTGAACTCTACAGCACATTATATTCTCTGCTCATCTACTGAACTCTACAGCACATTATATTCTCTGCTCATCTACTGAACTCTACAGCACATTATATTCTCTGTTCATCTACTGAACTCTACAACACATTATATTCTCTGTTCATCTACTGAACTCTACAGCACATTATATTCTCTGTTCATCTACTGAACTCTACAGCACATTATATTCTCTGTTCATCTACTGAACTCTACAGCACATTATATTCTCTGTTCATCTACTGAACTCTACAGCACATTATATTCTCTGTTCATCTACTGAACTCTACAGCACATTATATTCTCTGCTCATCTACTGAACTCTACAGCACATTATATTCTCTGTTCATCTACTGAACTCTACAGCACATTATATTCTCTGCTCATCTACTGAACTCTACAGCACATTAAATCTAGTTTAACTCTACAATTTAAAGAAAAGGGTATGTTGAATTTGAAATAAAATTCATTGAATGATTAAAAAGAGAACAAAATTATTTAGATTTTTTATTTTAACAGAAGATTTTTGTCTTGGTTATCATTTTCACACATTTCCTTCTATCATATGCTTTTATCCATACACAGTCTTTACATGCATTACAGTTTCAGTTCTTGGAGTGACCTGTAGTGTCGATGGTTCATGGATCACTCTTTGCAAGGTTTACAGCCCTCTACTTTACATTCGCAAAAGTTCATTTTCTATCAAAACGATTTTTATTTTAACTAAATGTATTTGAGATTTAGAATTTCATTGGGTCGAATCTTAATGATGTTGATGTGAATCAGATGTGAGCACAGCCACCTTTCTCAAGCTTTCCCTCTGAAACGTCAGCAGTAAATGACTGGTAAATGTGATTTAGTGAAAGTGCAGAAACTCTTGTAAACAGTAGACACGGAGAGCGAGAGAGAGACGGTCAGTACAGAGATGATGATGATGATGATGTCATCAGCGCAGCAGCTGCAGGGTCGTCATGGTAACAGCCAATAGGAGCAGCTGCAGAGAGACCGGTGCCCAAACTCTGGATGCAGCAGCTGCAGAGACACACAGATATTAACATCACATTACCCCTTACAAACACACATTTAGCACATGTCTTCAGTCCCCTGAACTGAGCTGAACATTACCACACTTCTCTAGATCTACGTCAGACTCAAGACAAACTCGGGATTCGACACACAATGATAGTTCAAGGCTGATTTCAACAGCACACCTTTGATGATTGAACTGCACTCAGTCTTATATGTATTAATGTTGTATAGTGAAACTGATAATATTCATTAATGACAGGCCATCAGAAGAGCAGTGGAGTCGTCATCACTGCTAATCTGTGTTTGGGATATTGATATTGCATAAACACACACTGCTAACCCCAATGCGCTCAATTGAGGCGGATAATCGTTTTATCTGATGAGAATACATGCGTATAATCTACTATGGAAACACATTTATGAGTTTATGAATAAATCCCTCAAACCTCATGTGACTTTGCCTCAGCAGAGGCTGTGATTGGATAACTGGACTAACCAGCGGACCAATGGACTTACAGTTTATTACTGATATTCTGCACCAGTTTGCCAGGAAGTGATGATTTTGTTCTCTTGAACACATGGGTTAGAAGCACTGTGTTGTTCAGTAATGTTGATATTCCAGTTTCACTGCTTGATCTGAGCGAGTGCTGAGCGCTTTCTGTTGACAGTGTTTCAGCTGACGAACACACTCACACACACACACACACACACACACACACACACACACACACACACACACACACACACACACACACACACACACACACACACACACACACACACACACACACACACACACACACACACACTCAGTCAGCTCTGACCGATGTGGTCAATTATGTCCTTCCAGCCGCGCAATATGAGGATACGCACCGACTTTCGCCACTAACTTTCGTCAGCATGAAGCCTTTTCCCGCCATTTTTCAAATGAACAACGCAGCCGCATGCGCTGTATGGTGTATAAGCTAACAGGAAACCCGCGTCAGTCAAGTCAAGTCAAGTCACCTTTATTTATATAGCGCTTTTTACAATACAGATTGTATCAAAGCAGCTTCACAGTGATAACATGAAAATAATACAACAAAGTTGGTTTCTAAAAGAAAATTGCGTCAACGTCCACCTTAAGTAAGGCAGATCAATAATATTATTGAATATTAAATGTCCCCAACTAAGCAAGCCAAAAGCCAAGGCAACAGTGGCAAGGAACCAAAACTCCATCAGGTGACAGAATGGAGAATAAACCTTGGGAGAAACCAGACTCAGTCGGGGGGCCAGTTCTCCTCTGGCCAACGAGCGAACAGTGCATGATTCGGGCAGCATTACAAGTCAGATTGGATTGGAACATTTAGAGTATTTGTCCATTTCCATCTTTTGGAAGTCCAAGTAATCACGCCGGTCTTAAGACGAGTAGTTGAGGATCAGTGCCGTCCACCATAGAGAGTCCATATCGCCCATGTTGAGTCGTCACTTCACAGGCTTTGTGATTGGGGCATCTGAAGTCTCCGTGAGAGGCTTTAGAGCAGTAGTCTCAAACTCGCGGCCCGCGGGGTGATATTTTGTGGCCCCCTACTTGACATTAAAGTTTAATGTTAGTGCGGCCCGTCGTTGCGTGTGCCGCGTTTAAAAAATAAATAAATACATTTTTATCCCTTATGGGCTACCATATATAGTCTCATGACAGCTTACGGTGGGTTTGTTGTCAATAGTTGTCATAGACAACCGCGAAGTACAAACATACTGCGCCTGGAAAAAATGAGCGCGGCGCTTCAATTATGAGCGCACTTGCCGCGCGCCTACATTTGAAATAACGAACTTGAGCGCGTAAAATATGTGAGCGCGATATGTGAACGGCCCCTTGGCGAGCTACCACCAATCAGGCCACGAGCTACTGGCAGCTCGCGAGCGACGTGTTGGAGAGAGACCCTGCTCTAAAACAATGTGAGAATAATCACTTTGAGCTTGTAATATGTGTCCAACAGGTTCATAAGAAGGTTTGCTTTGATTTGTGCAGTCAGTAATTTGAGACACTATACATGTGTAGAAAGAATTCAATAAAACGGGCAGACATGACTGCAAATATTTGCATTTCAAAAGCAATAATTGTTTTTCTACGTATAATAAAAGGAAATGTGCCTTCCAAAAAAAAACAGTCAATATCATTAATGTGTTGTATAAAGAAAATAAAAAGGACATAAGCAAATATAAAATATGTGTTATAGACAAAGAAAGTTTGTAAAATGAACTTCAACTGTCAGAAGGACAGCTCATGAAGAACCAATCATGTACAGAAAGGAATGTTCAAATTCAGAGGAACAGTTCAGAAGAAACGTTAATAATAAAGATTGAGAAGATTGGATCAGTTGTGCTCCTTTTTTGGAATACTTGATGCGGCCCAGCCTGACCCAGACTCTACCTCCAGCGGCCCCCAGTTAAGTTGAGTTTGAGACCCCTGCTTTAGAGGCTCCGTGATGACGACGTCAGTGACGTCGTCATCACGTCTTGCGCAGCTCTTGACACACCCAAACTTCGAATGCTTGTTTGTCGTTTTTTAAATTGGACGAATATTGTAAATTGGAATACGGTTTTGCCAGCCGTAATGCGCTGGTGTTGGGGTGTGAGCGTCACCTGTGGCGGCGGCGGCGGACGGGGCTTTAGTGCTGCTGGTGCTGGCACTGGTTACACTGGGAGTGTGTGTGTGTGTGTGTGTGTGTGTGTGTGTGAGCGTCACCTGTGGCGGCGGCGGACGGGGCTTTAGTGCTGCTGGTGCTGGCACTGGTTACACTGGGAGTGTGTGTGTGTGTGTGTGTGTGTGTGTGTGAGCGTCACCTGTGGCGGCGGCGGACGGGGCTTTAGTGCTGCTGGTGCTGGCACTGGTTACACTGGGAGTGTGTGTGTGTGTGTGTGTGTGTGTGAGCGTCACCTGTGGCGGCGGCGGACGGGGCTTTAGTGCTGCTGGTGCTGGCACTGGTTACACTGGGAGTGTGTGTGTGTGTGTGTGTGTGTGTGTGTGTGTGTGTGTGTGTGTGCGTCACCTGTGGCGGCGGCGGACGGGGCTTTAGTGCTGCTGGTGCTGGCACTGGTTACACTGGGAGTGTGTGTGTGTGTGTGTGTGTGTGTGTGTGTGTGTGTGTGTGTGTGTGAGCGTCACCTGTGGTGGCGGCGACGGACGGGGCTTTAGTGCTGCTGGTGCTGGCACTGGTTACACTGGGAGTGTGTGTGTGTGTGTGTGAGCGTCACCTGTGGTGGCGGCGGCGGACGGGGCTTTAGTGCTGCTGGTGCTGGCACTGGTTACATTGGGAGTGTGTGTGTGTGTGTGTGTGTGTGTGTGAGCGTCACCTGTGGTGGCGGCGGCGGACGGGGCTTTAGTGCTGGCACTGGTTACACTGGTTTCAGTGGCGCTGGAGTTCCTGCCGCCCGTCAGGCCGATGTTCAGCGAGTCCAGATCCGACTGCAGCTGAAGCCGGATCCACTCCTGCACCGGTGCCGTGCTTTCATACGTCTTCAGATCGCCGACATGCACCCCCAGCAGACCCTTCACATCAGTCACGTTCAGCACCTGCACACACACACACACACACACACACTGATAATCCCCAAACGCAGGAGTGACGAGACTCACGCTGATGACGCTCTCACACACACATGTACACACACACACTCACACAAACACACACACACACACACTGGTAATCCCCAAACGCAGGAGTGACGAGACTCACGCTGATGACGCTCTCACACACTCACACACACACACACACACACCAAACGCAGGAGTGACGAGACTCACGCTGATGACGCTCTCACACACTCACACTCACACACACACACACCAAACGCAGGAGTGACGAGACTCACGCTGATGACGCTCTGCTTCAGACTCATGAAGGTCGGCACGTCCATATTCACACTGGAGTTTACAAGTCTACGAATAAACGTCGAATCGGCACCACCTGAAAGTACACACACACACAAGTTCAGACCGAATGCAGAAGTGGGTTTCAATATGTGTGTGTGTGTGTGTGTTGTTCCTTACCGAGGTAGTTCTGCAACAGCTGGTACGTCGGGATGCTGACGGTGTGTGTATTGCGTGTGTTTGTTGCGCTGAATGCGCTCAGAGCGATACTGAACACAATCGACTTCTTCTCTGAGCTGCAGGTGGTCAAAGAGAGAGCGGAAGCTCGCCTGAAACACACACACACACACACACACACACACACACACACACGGCACACGTATGAGTCTACAGGTTTAAACTACATTCATCTAAAAGTCCTAAAAACAAAGAGCAACCAACAGGAAAACAGATCAATAAACAAACTAAATAATGTTTTAATAAGCAACAAGTTTGTTTTCAGGGATTTAATTCCAGATGTTCGCAGGCGCGGCCTAATGGTTAGAGAGGCTGCTGACCCGAAGGTTGCGGGTTTGATTCTCAATACCCACAGGAAATGCCAAATCTAAGTGTGTGTGTGTGTGTGTACTCACTCCACACTGGCGGCCGTGATGTTGTTCAGCACACTCGCGCTCAGCACACACAGGTTAGCTCCTCCCAGTGCGTTCAGCTCGTTAGTGCCGAGAGTGTTTCCACTCACACTGAGATACTTACTGACCAGCAGCTGGACCTGAGAGAGACACACACATCAGAACACTGAACCAGAGCGACTTCATGACGTTAGCTTCTGCTGAAGCACACACACACACACACTGTACCATCTCAGGGTCCCAGTCTCCATTGCGTTGGTTCATCAGAGACGAGAGTGTGTCGATCTTCGTCACGCTCCACTTTCTGACATCATCAGGTGTGGCTGTGCGGG